CCATATTTGTTTTAACCGAAGTCCACCCTAGCAAACAGTTTGAACCCCAACTGGAATTGGTTATTTGAAAGCCAAGTGGGAGAGGGGGAAAAGATGCCAACCACTAGAATTGAAAATAGGGTTTTTCGGTTTAATAAAGTTAAAACCTAAACAAACCTAAAAGTTTGGCTCTTTAAATAGCTAACACTTGGCAGTACTTTTGTTCTGCTCCTGGATCATGGAGCCTGTTGCAAGAGCAGGGACACCTCTCTTTCTGTGCCCGCTCCCTTCTCCATGCATAGCTGAGGCCTGTGGCCCGAACACACGGAACCATGGAGTTGTGCCCACACCGACAAAGGGGCAAGCAGGAACAGCTTTGCTCAGAAGCAACAAAGGAGGCTTTGGTTCTGCCCATTGGAATCAGGAAGTGAGTTGTTTGCAGCTATCTGGACCCTAGATTCTAGAGTCGCCTGCCCCAGTAACTGGTCTGTGAATATGTCTGTGCCAGCTCTGTTGTGGCAGTTGGATCAAGCTAGCTCAGATGTTGTGCTTAGTACTGTGGAGCCCTCATTCTTCCCTCTGCTGCTTCTAACATGCAGCCTATCTCCATCAGGGCAAACTCTTTGGAAGCAATGAAGGGAAAGGAGGAAGACACACAGTGCACTTTTCCCAAACAAATACCTGACAGCCAAACTGGATTTGTCAGACTCCTATGGACAATACGTGGCAAATTCAACTTTAAAAATCTGCTTTTACCTTAAGAAATGATTAACTCTTCATGAATTCTCTCTAATAAGTGAGCTTCGAGAAAGAATCATTTAAAGGTGATGGAAGTTTTGGAATCTGACAAGCCATTTTTATATTAAAAATTTTTTCCTAAATGTTCAGAGATAATGTTATATTTTGTAGTTTTTAAGGCAACTTCTGTATAATTTTTATCCTTTTAAGGGGAGAATGAAGGGGAGGAAGATTATTGCTTCAAATTGGAATGGGACAGATCTACTTGTGTGAACTTTGACACATTATTTAACTTCCTCAAGACTTATTTTTCTTAATCTATAAAAGGGGAACAATAATATTTATTTGCAAGGTTTACTTGAAGGATTAATGAAAAGACCTAGAATAGATTCAAGACCATAATAAGGACTCAATATCTACTAGTTTCCTTTTAAATCCAGTTAGGTCAGTTTCTATAAATGTCACTTTTCAAAACAGTTATTTTTAATATGCTAAACATATTAAAATAAAAACTGCCCACATTTAGAATCCTGATATTAAGTATTCAGGTTGTAAAGTTGTGCAAAATTAACTTTACTGAGTGAGCCTTTTATGTTTTCAGTTAATAAAAATCCATGTTTAGAGCCTCAGAGTCCTGTGAGTCTCTTAAACTATGTTGTGCATAATCTTGCAGGATTTCCAGAAATTATGAATGTCAGTGGGAATTTCTACCTCTCATTATTTAGAACACAGCTCTATGAGATCTGTAATTAGTAGGTAACAGATGAGGATATGTTGATCACCATCTGTGAAAGATCTTAAAAGTGGGTAACGAAGCTGAAACCGGTTTGGCTCAATGGATAGAGCATCGGCCTGTGGACTGAAGGGTCCCAGGTTTGATTCCAATCAAGGACATGTACCTCGGTTGCGGACACATCCCTAGTAGGGGGTTTGCAGGAGACAGCTGATGGATGTTTCTCTCTAATGGAAGTTTCTAACTCTACTTCTCTCTCTTCCTCTCTGTAAAATATATATATATATATATATATTTTAAAAAGTGGGTAATGGAGTAAACCACTCTTGTAGCTACATAGTAAAGAAAGACTGCCTACAGTCATAGAATCTTAGGATTTTAGAGTTTTAAAAACTTACTGCTACTTTGAACTTCTCTAAAAACTCCTGTTCAAACTATTTTAAAAGGAAAAAAAAATCTATAGTTATTGTAGTGTAAGTGACTTTTATTGACAATTGCTTTGTTTTATCCTAAAGAACCAAATGTTTAGAGGAACACTCTAATTGTCCTTGGAAGGTAATGAGCTCTGACACCTCTCAGTGCTTAGCTTTTGGGGGTAAGTATGCACTGCCTGTCAGATGGTTAGATCAGTTTTCTTATCACTAGCAATTCTTGTGATTAAGCAGACAAGGGGAAAAAAAACAACAACAACATGAGATACTCATTTAAATATGTAATCTAGACAATCATTTATTCATACACACAAACTTACCCATATGAATATCCTAAAACTGATTTTCAATCTTTCTCATCCCATTGCACACATAAACTAATTACTAAAATTCTGCAGCACACCAAAAAATATGTCTTTTTCCAATCTAACAAAAAATAGGTATAATTTTGATTCATTCACAGATTTCTTGTGATTAGCTTATGGTCATTGATCAGGAAGCCAACTGATAAACTTGTCTATGCTAGTATCCACTTCTTTAAATGGCAGGTAACTTGAGCAGTCAAGTGAGGTGATATTGAGTATGCTTTGATGTATTATGGTCACATATTATTTCAAGAGGATTTATGACTGAGGACAAAGTAGCCTTTCTTCCAGCTCTTCTTGCTGTAAATATTTTGTGCTCAGTCAATAAAGAGTATGAACTAGAGCCCCGGCTGGTGTGCACAGGGTAGTTAGACGATGGTCCTGTGCACTGAAGGGTTATGGGTATGGTTCCCAGTCAGAGTACATTATCAGATTGTAGGTTCGCTATCTGGTCATGGTACATGGGTGAGGCAATGGACTGATATTTCTCTCTCTCCCTCTCTTGAATCAATGAAGAAACATATTGTGAAAATTAAAAAAAAAAAAAAGACTGTGAACTAGATATAAATGACCCAGTGTTTTCTCTTCCTTCCTCACCCCGGATCTGTTCTGTAGGCCATTATTATTGTTAATGCAGTTATTTAATCAAAATATATCAATAATTTTAAGTTTTCTGCAAAGCCTCACAATCCAAATTTAATATTTATTTACAACATCAGTACTTCTTCCAAAAGATGAGATGAAGCTTAAAATGAAAGATATTTAACTTTAAAGGCTATGAAAATAAATTCGTAAAATAAATAACTTACAGAGGAAAAGGAGCAAATGTAACACCTCCATTTAGGTGACTTTTGCCAGGTGGTTGACCAAACACTTTACCCATGAACTTTGTGGTAGCAAAGCTGAGTAGGAAAACAGCAGATTATATAATTTCCCGAGTCAGTTTTCCAGACGAGAGCACTGGTGAGTTTCCTTCTTACTCTAATGCAAGCTACATGTGAAATATGTTCTAAACATGCTCTGTCGTCCCCAAACAGTGATTGCTTTCTAAAATAAGTTGGCCAGTCTACGTTTCTTATTCCTTTTATGGTACAATATGTTTACTTGGGGAAGATCATTTTCACTGGGGAAAAAAATCAACTTTTTACTAAAATTATTAGTTCAGTAGCCATAGACATTAAAATCAACGTTGATTTTAAAATGTTTTTAAATTGTCTCTTTCATTAGGTTCCAGAAATCGTCTGTTCATCTTTGTATCTTTGGTGTCCCCTAAACAAAAACTCCTTCTAGTCTTTGTTCATAACTCCAAAATCTAAAAAGCTCTGAAAACAGAAAATGTTATCAAAAGTTATAACTCATTGAAGGAAAGCCCTGAGCTGGGTAAGACTGTTTAAGCATCTTCACTTGCCCCACATTTGTGAATACACTCTCCTGTATTTTGCTGCAGGCATGGTAATACTTGTAATTACAGTTCTACAGATTCTGCTGGGTGTTATGTATTGATAGCATTTGGTGTATGCATGCTACTATTCTTTTTTGTTTTTTGTTTTTTTTTTAAGTATAAGCAAACCTCCAAAGGTTTCAGGAAATGGATTATGGGCCTTTAATGGCCAACCACTAGAATAATGTAGGTACCGAATGAGTTGGAGTGAGTCTGCCTAAAATGAGGGACTTAGAAATGGGAAACTTCTCTGCAGCCAGGCCTTACTACTTTGAGGCTTCAGGAATAAAATAGATAATATAATATTTAGAAGCAGTGCATCGACATGTTTCTGGAATTGTTTTCTTAGAATAGTTGTAATTGGTCTCTGGTCATAATAAATCCAGGGAATGTGGGTGCTATTCTGTCAGTTAGGGCTTCGGGTGCTTTTTGTGTGATTTTGTGTGTTTTTTATGTTGTCCCTATCTCTTTACCTATCACTTTGTATTGTTTTCTTTTCCTTCAGCATTTTTTAAGGTGTCACATCAACTATTTTAATACTGGTGATTTAATTGCAAAAGCACACGTAAACAGTTTGGAAGGTGTGAAAAGGAATTCACAAGTCACATGGGGAAACAGCAACAAAGTTGGCATTCAGTCTGAATGCATTTGCTGTGCAACATAATCACACTGCCACGGGGTCACACGGTGTGTCCTGACAGTGAGTGAAAAAAATGAGTTTGATATAAGAAACATTTGTTTCATACCGGATTTACAGGGGAAAATATCAATATGAATTCATTAAATATCAGCTTCACCCTCGCAAAGCTTAACTTTTATAGGGACAACCAGACATGTATATAAAATAAGTAAAGTACATAGCAGTACAGACCAGAGGGAAGACCAGTAGCAGGACTGCAGCTCAGACCAGGACAGAGTGGGTGTGCACTGGCCTGTAAAGACGAATCAGAACTAGATTAATGAGAGGGTGGAATCAGTGGAGTGAAGATGAGAGGACAGAGCCCCAGCTCTCAATAAACTCTGTTTAGTAATAGAGACACACAAACAGATAAATTATTATGAAAAGTGGCAAATGATGTAGGAGGAGCTGTGGACCCAGAGAGGAGAATAATGATTGATCGCTGAGAAAGGTGGCAGGAGCTGACTTTTAGGCTGGATGCTGAAGAATGCAGGAGCTTGCTCGGAAGAGGAGGGGTGGTCTAGGAAAGCCTTAAGGCAGAGTAAAGGACAAGATGCTTACTTGCACTCTCAACAGCAGGACAGTTATACCAAGGTGACTTTTTACATTGTAATGTCATTGCAGGTGATCAGTCATGCCTTCTGGAACAATACAGAGTGGAAAAGGATTCCAGACCAAGAGTCAGTTTAGGACCATTGCACCAAAGATTGTGTCCAAAGTCCTAACTTCCAGAGTGCTGCCGGGCCCTTCACCATCATTCTCTGATCAGGTGAACCCAGGCCCCCCCATCAGTTCTCCACTGGGGCTGCCTGCCCAGAATTACGCTCTGATGCAGGTTGCTGGCCAGAAGGGCACATATTCTCTAGTGGCGTTGCCTCAGGTTGCCTCAATTCAGCCAGTCCAGAAACCCAGACTGCCCCTGCCTGAAAACCTTAAACTGCCTATTCCCCGATACCAACCCCCAAGAAATAACAAAGGATCAACAAAGAACCCCATTCTGAGCTGCTCTGAAAGTGGCTGTAGCAAACCTCCTGCCCAAACCCACACATCTCCTTCCCTGCCTGGCTGTTCTGAGCCCCTGCCCCAGCCCAGTCCGTCTGGGCCAGTGCTGCCGCCAGACCAGGCCCCGGCCAGCGTCAGCCCGGCTGCTCTGGCCAGTGGAGGTGGCCCCGGAGATTCCCGACCTCCAGTGACCAGTGACTGTGGAGATGCGAACCTCCCTGACATCCCAACATCATCCGCATCAGAGCAGCCCTCTGCCAGGCAGGGCTTCATGAAGATTTTAGGGAAAGACAACTTTGCAAGCAAAGAAACATCCAGTAAACCTGCTGCTGTTGCCAGCGAGAAGCATAAAGAACAAGCTGACCTTGCAGAAGGCAGGTTCAAGTCATCACCAACCATTTGGGGTGGTTCACTCCAGTGGGTTCCCTCAGTCCCCAAAGATGAACGGCCAGTCTTACGTCCCGTGAGTGTGAAAACTGCACAGGTTTATAAAAGTGAGCCGGATGCTAACACTGTAGACTTTTCTTTTCCTGGGCTCAGGGCACACTGGGATAAGTCAGCCACCATCACCGAAGGCTTTGCTGCAGCCACCAGGATGGCCGATAAGGTGCCTGGCCCACAGGTGTCGAAGCAGAGCCTCTGTAAAAGTGCCTTTTGTCCAGCCGCCAAACTGGATCTCAACCACAGAACCAAGCTGAATGGCGGGGCAACAAAGAGAAAAGGAAGAAAACTAAAGGTGCCAGATGAAATCTTGTCATTTCAGGGGAAAAGGAGGAAATATAAAAGAATAAAAAACGATTCCCAACAATCCAGAGACCAAAAACCTGGGACTTTGAAAAGGTATCGTTGCATCATGCCTAAACCCGTCATTGTCATGTCCGCTGGGACTCCCTTGGCTTCTCCGGTGGCTCTGTTACCGCCCCAAAGGCCCGGCACCCTGGGACAGGACAGTTTGTTAAATAATTCGTTCGCTCCTAAACATCTCGGCTGTAAGCAGGACGACAGCCCTCCCCCCAAGCCCAGCTCTGCATTCAGAAATGGATTCTCTGGCATTAAGAAGCCTTGGCACAGATGCCCTGTCTGTAACCACCACTTCCAATTCAAACAGCACCTTCGAGACCACATGAATAGCCACACGAACAGACGGCCTTACAGCTGTCGAATTTGTCGCAAGGCATATGTGCGTCCTGGCAGCCTGAGTGCACACATGAAACTCCATCACGGTGACAACCGGCTAAAGAAACTCGTGTGCTGTGAATTTTGTGCCAAAGTGTTTGGTCACGTCAGGATCTATTTCGGCCACCTGAGAGAAGTGCACAGGGTTGTCATCAGCACCGAGCCCTCCCCCAGCGAACTGCAGCTGGGAGACGTGCCAAAGCACAGGGACAGGGACACCAGCGTGCAGAGGTGAGTGCCAATGGAAGGGAAGTCTGACAAGAAAGTCTGTTTGGATTTGGGGAGCAGGCTAAGAACCCATGTTCAGAAGATAAGTTCTATAAAAACATCTCTTAGATTAAGATTTTATGAGGCCAGCTCTATGAAAAATAATCTCATTTCTTTTTCTTTTAAATATATTTTATTGATTTTTCACAGAGAGGAAGGGAGAGGGATAGAGAGCTAGAAACATCGATGAGAGAGAAACATTGACCATCTGCCTCCTGCATGCCCCCTACCACAACCAAGGTACATGCCTGTGACTGGAATCGAACCTGGGACCTTCCAGTCCTCAGACTGATGCTCTATCCACTGAGCTAAACCAGTTTTAGCTAATCTCATTTCTTGTTGGTTTTTGATCACACATGATTTATAATGATGGTAACCTCAGTAATGCCTATTTGAGGTATGATGGAGACAATCAGGTAACAGACATTTTTTAACATTTTCTTTTTTTAAAAATTGATTTCAAGAGAAAAAGAAACATTGATGTGAGAAACATTGATTGGTTGCCTCTCACAGTGGGGATCACCCTGACTGGAGATCGAACCCACAACCTAGGTATATGTCTCAACTGGGAATTGAACCCACCACCTTCTGATGTATGGAATGATGCTCCCACCAACTGAGCCACACGGGCCAGGATATAACAGATTATTTTTGTATCTGACATGAAATATGAAATTTTGTGTATAGTTCCTGGCATTCTTTACAAATAATTTCTCCAAAAATGGTGTTCACAGAATGTACATCTGAACAGCATCAGTTGCCTCTTAGCTTCACATAACCCGTGGTGGCTCCTCAGTGTGACCAGTCCCTAAAGTGTCCAGACCTTAAACCTTCTCTTTTGTCCTATTTTCCCTTCAGGCCAGATTAACTTTCTCCTGTGCCATTCCCATCTTCAGGTCCTGCTTCTTGGCATTATAAACAAACAAGCTAAGTCATTCGTAAGCCTGGCAGTCAGGGCTTTTTAAGAACAATAAGTAAACCAGGGAAATGGCCTTATTTTGTCCACTGTCCACTATGACAGAGAACTGAATCCTTATTGGCCCCTTGGAAAGTAAACATTTTCCCATACTAGATTTTCTGCCCCTTGTCATGGTTTTCCTGTAGTCCGTTTTGATTTTTAGGTAACATGTCCAAACTATATTGGTGTTCAATATTAGAGAGGGCAGCGGTGGGTGATGTGGGACAGTTACTGTCAACCAGATGCAGCATGGAGAGCCTCGCTTGTTACCACCTGATTCTCATGTTGGTGACACCTGTTCCTGTGGTCACAGGATAGTTAGCTCCCCTGGGGAAGGAGTGTGTGGCCCAAGCAGGAGCAACAGTTGGGGTTCTGCAGCCTCTGCTGAAGGCCTTCCCATGCTCTCTCTGTCTTCCCACCCTTTGCGCTTCTCATCAGTGGAAGTGTTTTAGTACTTGGATGGCTAAGAAAAGTTCCAATTCTGTTTTCCTATGCAATTTTATATTAAATATTTCTCCCTTTTTCAGAGAAAACAAATCAAGCCTGGACGAAGACCTTCTTCTAAACCAGGCAGACGAAGTCAAATTACAAATCAAATGTGGCCGCTGTCAGATCACTGCCCAGTCCTTTGCTGAAATAAAGTTTCATTTACTTTCTGTTCATGGAGAGGAAATCCAGGGCAGGCTGCAAGAGGAGAGTGCCCCAGGAAGCCAGGCTGGCGAAGAGCAGGCTCACCGCGCTGCTCCTTCCTGGAAACAGCGTCCCCAGAGAAGAAAGCTGCTGCAGCTCTATCCCTCTGCGGAGGTGCGTGCAGTGCCTGCAATGACACAGCAGCCCTCCCTGCATCGGCAGAGCGACAAGGAAATGCTCACAAACCATGAAGGAGCCCAGCTGAGACCCGGCAAGCCAGGGGAAGTCCCCCAGGGCCCTGCGTGTCCCAGCCCACACTTGGATCTCCTTCAGTCCCCTTCCGGCTTTAGCTGCATCCTTTGTGCACAGACTCTTGGAAGGAAAGAAGAGCTCCTCCTGCACTGGGAACAAGAGCACAATTGTGAGGATCCTCCAAGGCTCTGGAGGGTGCTGCATGCTCTCTCTAACCAGGGAGCCTCCCAACTTCCCGGCAACACTGAAACATGAAGGTCTGTGGTCAGAGAGGTTAAACAGAGTTGGTATCGCCTTTCTCTCGAAGTTCTTATTTTATGGTGGTACTTACCAGTAATTAGAAAAAGCAAACAAGTTAGGATTAACATTAATACTAAGTGGGAGTGATTTTGTACATAATTTTATTTTCGTATGAAATATATGCCCTTGATGTATATATTCTAACCATATTCAGTTTTATTTTAAATTCTGTGCACCAAATATTAATATCTTAGACTTTATTTCAAAATAAATAAAAAGATCAAAATTTGGAGATTGAAATTTAAAGGATTTTAGGCTGTTCTTCAAATATAGTTTTCAGTAAAAACATGTGTTTGTGTGTGTGTTATGTTCCTTTTGTCCAAATGTTTTCTATTTAAGTAGGTCCACAAATGTGAAAATTTCCAGGTGACAAAATTATTTACACCTCAACTATATTGCTGTTTATCAAATTATCTTGTTTATTTTAAAATGCTGTAAAGCAATGCATTTAATAAGGTTCTCATCTTACAATTTAAAATTCATATCTTCAGGACTTATATTTTTTAAGTTCTATTTTCCTAAAGGCACATTGCCTTGAAGATGAGAAGTTGGTAAGTTTTATAGCTATAGTGTTTCATATCAAAGTAATCAAAAAAAATTTAGTACTTCGGCTAAATCACTATTTTCAAAAAAGCCATTTTGTAGGCCAGAAAATTTACAACCTGGAAAGTGAACTAGATAGTTCAATCCAGATGTCTAGGTGTCTCAGCTGCTTTCCCTCCCTCCTACGTGACTTCAGAGGATTATCACTAAATGATCAATTTTAGACACAACTGTGCCATTCAAGCCCGGGTTCTCTTTAAAAGTTAAGAGTAACTGATTGCCTCTTAAATTCCTGGGAAATTACCTCAAATTGGAAAAGTTGCCATTTGAAGTTTCTGGCCATCCTGGCTGCAAAATTATTTTCTTGAAATGGCGGAGTTGAGCCCTCATCCTACTGATATTTCAGCCTTCGGACGAAAGCACTGTGCCGTTGCCAGCCGTCTTTGCCTGGAGCTTGGCCCAGGCATCAGCACAACATTTTCCCTACATAAGGAAGATATTGAAACAGAGGAAGAACTAAATTCCAATTGATAAGCTAGTGGGTCTTAAATCATTTTTTAATGCCTAATTTTAAAAGCAAGCATCCATAGACACACTTTGGCCCAAATACTATGAAAAGGGAAATTCAATCCTTGATGTTTTGCAAATAGTTTTATAAATTTGAGGATGAGAGGTTAGGAATGGAAATCTCTGAAAAATTTTACTGCGGTTTATCAACCAATTATGCTCTACACAGTTTCAGAGATATAATATTAGACCTCCACTGTTTGATATTTTTAGAACTGTGTTATTCATAAAACAGCTTTACTATTTAGTACAGTACTTAGTTTGTTTGGAGAAGATTGATCTTAAAGACACTAAAAAGTGAGATCTACCTAGAATAATGTTTGAATTGAAACTGTAAAATAATTCATAGACTACTCAGTCCTCGGATACTAAGCAATATTTTTGGAAATACCAGTTGGCCAAGGGCTGAGGAATGGGTCTGGAGAATGTATGGAGGTGAAGGTGTGGGGGCGAAAGGAAAATCTGAAGTTGCCAAGGTCAGAGAGACACCTGCCTGGCCATTTTTCATCTAAATATTCTTATAGCAAGGCCAGAAAGTGAAGGTATAGACCACCTTTGGAAAGAAAGAGAGTTAGGAATGCAACCGAGAACAGAAGTTGGGAGATGTGTTTGGCTCATGGTTAAGTGCTTTGGCTGAATCCCCTTCTCAATTGGGCACTGATCTATGGAGGCAGGAAGCTGGGTGGCTCTTTGTAAGAAAGCTCTTTGTAAGAGAGAAGGAAACTTGCAATGCAGAGAGGCCTCAATGCCTGTGTGTATGGATTCACTCAGAATAAAGTGTTTGTTATAGTTCTCAGCTTCTAGAAGTACTCCCCTGTATTACAATGGGAGCAGCCCCCCTGCCAACTAAGATAAGGAGTGTCTGGCTCTTGTTAGTAGCACTGCTTTAGTGAGGATGAGAGGTTAGGAATGGAAATCTCTGAAAAATTTTACTGTGGTTTATCAACCAATTACGCTCTACACAGTTTGAGAAGTTGATGGGGGTAAGAAGACAAGAGGGAGTAATTCATCTAAAGTAACTTTGGGAAGCCAGTGGATATTCATTGATTCGCCTTTCTTGGGTGTATATGTGTTGTTGGTGCAGTCCTAACCTGCATCCTGAACCCAAAGGCAGTGAGTGAGGTGCAGAAGTGCCCTGTGACCTCAAGAGTCACCTTCCTAACGCTCCAGTCCCTTGTCTGTGAGTGTGAGGAGCCTACCTCAAGGCATTGTTGCAAAGAGTGATCCAACAGAAATGAAATGACTGCCACAGGTGGGCCATGCAGTAACTAGTGGTGAATATTTACTGTGCTTTTGGTGAGACTTGAAAGAAGACGTCTGCTATGCCATAGACAGTCATTTACAACAGCTCAGATGCCCTCACGTCCAGAATTCAAGGATGAAAACTATTAGAATCACAGATACTTGCATCTTTGTATAAAAAGTGTATTTTAATTATTAAATAGTCAAATAGATTTGTATTGCATGGAGGTTTGGTAAGTGTCTAATTGATATAGAAAGCAAAGTTGACTAAATTATTTCTATTTCAGGCTCCACTTTGGGTCTGGTGTCTCTCCCTGCGCCCCACCCCCACCCTCCCACCCCCTCTTTATAGTCCTATGTTCCTAACCCAGCTCATGACAGTGTCCTGAACATGACAGTGATCTTTACTGCTTCCCACAGTAGATCATATACCTCTCAAGGACACGGACCATGTCTTTGTTCAACACTAGCACCACAGAGTCCAGCTCATGACATGAAATAGTACTCAATGAATATTTGTTCAAAAAATGGATACATTAGCTTAATACAAATAAAATTGCCACTTGCCTTTTTATGAATACATCTAGCTTTAACAATCAAACTTACAGTAAGAAAGGCATAGAGGCAAATTGGTCTTAAATTCAGTACATTCATTTTGTTTAATGTCTTATGCTTCTTGGAAATTTGTCACAAAGCCAGCAAAATGAGATTCTTTTTTCTTTTCTTTTGGCCCTACATTATTCCTGAAAGTTATAGCATTTTAGATTTGTATTGTTTTATTAGCTGTCATTTTTATTCATGACCCCCTTTGTTTCTTTTTCTCTGGCCCTCTTCCTGGTTTAGCTTGACTGTTCTCTGGTAAGCCGTTCCTCATATGGAAAGTTGTCTCTTCATCAGCACACCATAAATTATCAAACCTGGGTGCACTCCAGTGCCTTCTCTGGCTCCACATGCCCGCTCCCAGCTGCACAGCTCCATTTTTTTGTGGCCCTCATGACATTGTTGGCAATAAATGCTCGACTTCGTTTATTTATTAGAATTCTCAGATCTGGACTCATTTGCTCCATTCAAGCTGCTGACGTGCATTGTTAGGCATATATTTTATAGTCTCCCCTTTTCACTGAACTCCTGATAAAAAGTACCCTGGTAAAGATCATTTAGCAGAGCAGATTTTTAGTTTCAACTTTATACTGACTTTCCTGACAATCAGCAGCTTATATAGGCTTGTGGTACCATGCCAATATACATTTTAATGATACCCACCTCTTCAGAAATGTTCCTTTTGGAGGTGAAATGTCTATTGTGTATCATATTTGGTCATAGTCATTGTTATCCCCATAAGAAACTGACGATAAGCACAGTTTGCAAGCACATTTTAAATTGGTGTTAGCTTACATTTTCCATACTCTGAAGTGTGAAAATGTTTCAATGTGTTGCCTAACCTCAGGAAAAAAATCACTATCTCTTGAAGGACACCAAATATGACAGCAAAAGAGAAGTTAAGATTACTTGTTCTAATTTTGATGTGAAGCTAAGCAAGCTTGTTGGGTTAGTTACTTATTTAATGAAGCTTGCTCCCATCTTCAAAACCCCCACACCCCTAGCAGCCTGACAGGGAAGAATTGGTCTGCCATAGAGTGGCAGCATTGCCTCTGTTAGTATGCTTCAAGGGCAAAATTTCAAGCAGTTAGCATTAGAATAGATCATTTTTGATAAATCAAACATCAACTAAGAAAATATTTTATCTTCTGTCACTAAATATTAATTTAATCTCCACCTAGGAGTTGTGAGGAGACCACCAGCTGTTCTAGAGGCATTTGTAGAAACAGAGCAATGAACTTGATCTGGTTATGGTCGGGAAAGTCAGTTGTAATGCATATCTTACTACAAAAATTTGGCCATGGATGGGATCCAGGTGGCTCAAACACATGAGCTGCACAACCATCCCTAAGTCTGACTGTATCTGGAAGTAATATTAAGAGTATGTTATTAGGAAACTAAAGACTGCCTTTTCCTAGTCTAATCCAAGTTAAAGCATAGTTAAATTTTTCATAGGACATTCATTGAAACAAGGAAATTTAAAATATCCAAGACTACTAAGTCTTTCTGATGGTGTTTATTCCTGCTGGAGGTGGGAGGTGGGGTGGTAAAGCAGGAGGGCAGAAGTGCTGTGTCAAGACCAGGCATGAGGAACTTTCTGATGACAGAAGGCCCAGTGGGGCTCAGTAAGAGTAGTAGGAATTCTGGCTTCAGTGTCCAAGCAGCAAAATACCATTAATATTCTGGTACAATCTAGAATGGAGCAAACAAAATTTGGCAATCTCTGTCAACCTAAAATGCACAGACATTTTAACCTAGGAACTCCACTTGTGAAATGTGCCTTGTAGACAGCCACTCAAGGGTATTCACTGCAGCACTGTCTACAGATGCCAAGAACCATCATGCTTGCATGTCTATGAGAGCAGGTTAAGGAAATTATAGTGTGCTGTGTGCTGGAATACTGCACTGTAGTATAAAGTGAGAAAGATTGAATTAGCAAGGTGCAGAACGAAGTATAGTGTGCTCTCATTTGCTCTTTAGAATGGAGGAAGAAAGAGAGGGTG